TGTTGAGTCTGCTGAACGCAGCCAATACATCATGCGCATCATGCGTGAAATAGAACACACCCTTTAGACAGCCAATCAGACAGCCATATTGAAAAATAATGGCGGTGACGACTAACCTAACCGATTCAACGACGCCTTTGATTCTCTGGGATTTCATTCTCGTAGTATTTCGCTGACACCGGATTTGTTAATTTGTTTTCGTACGTTCTTGAGATTCTGATACAGTTCAAAAAGAATCGCCCGTTATGGCCCGTTGTTACTCATACTTTCGCTCGCACTTATAATAATGCAGTGAGAGATATTATTTGGATTGTTCGTGCAAGTTGTAGGCGACAATGGCTAACCATTACGAAGTTCCGAACTGGTACGTTTCAGAGTTTTCTCATTTGCGATGTGACTTGATCTTGATCATCCGAGTCTGTTTATTGTTTACGCAATCGCACGTTTCCGAATTGTTTGTCGTCGCGCGGCAAGGCTGGCAATGTCCAGTGTTACACTTCAATCGCGTTCCGGTACACAGTGCTGAAAATCTAGTATATGTAATGTAAACGATAGATTTTCAGTATTCATTGACAGTGTATATTGGAACACGGTTTTCGTGTATACACGTTAATTAATCATCTCTTCCAGGGCCGGTAAGCCACCAGTAGGGTTGCATCTGGACGTGCTAAAGAACGACAAGTTGATACAGGTAGGAGCGATACACGATACACATCAGCTGTATCTTTAGTGACGTGTCATTCCCTTGGAATTCTATTATTAGAGCGCATTCAAAAACACTATTTGAGTGCCTCCAAAAATATGTTCCATTTGATGCTTGCAACGCTCATGGAAGTCATCGTCCTTGTTGTTTATCAAATGTGAAACAAGGATAAATAATGCTTCCAAGCATGGTGAGCACTAAATGGAGCATATCCTGAATATCATTTATCCTCGTTTAACATTCGATGAATAAAGTGACATTCATTAACATTTGGATAGTATTTTCGAATGTAGTCTTACTCACGTGAGTTGGAGGTCAATTATGTGTCTTGAAACATGGTGAAAATTATAGAAACGAGCAAATTTATTAGGTATTGAAATTATAAATATTCTAGTAAATATTCACTCATTTTTGTCATTTTCACTAAGTTGTATGATACACAATTGAATCCTTGTATGAACCAAGTGTCACATCGACCCTACTTTATTAGAAACTCATGGTGGATGAAAAGAAGTGTTATCTATTTGGCCGCAATCAACAGCTGAATGACTTCTGCATTGATCACGCGTCTTGTTCTCGCGTTCATGCGGCTCTCGTTTATCACAAGCACCTGAATCGGGCATTTTTGGTTGATCTGGGAAGTAGTAAGTACAGAGCTTATACTGGTGTTAAGATATAGGCTGTGTTTGATTTGGATGCTTTTAATGCTTTCAGCACTTCCATCCGTGACTACGTTTACACGCATTGGTAAAACCATTGTAGTTAAAACCGGTGTTAGATGTTCTGTAAACGTCCCTTAATACAGATGTTATTAAAACCGTTTTAGTAAATCCAAACCTCATCTAAAACAGGTTCGGCATTATTAAACCGTTTTAAGAAAGCCGTGTAAACGGTCTTCCATCGGTTTAACGTATCAAAATTTCGATGTTACCAACTTTAGACGTTAAGATTAAGAAATGACAAAGGGTATTTCGTCTCAGGTTCCGTATCAGATTTTATAAACTATAAAGCTACTTTATTTTTGGTGGAGATAAAATACTCCTGCTCGTGTAAACAGGCACCAACACTGGTTTTTACTAAAACCGTTTTTATCAGTGAGTGTAAACGTAATCCGTGTTTTACATCTACTAACTAAATAATAAAGACAGATTAATGATCTTAAAGCACGTGGGTGACCAAATCAAACGCAGTCATACTCTTCTTTCAAGAAAGATTTTTAATTAAAATTGAATATTAAAGTTCTCTTTTTTTTTTAAATTAAATTGTAAAGTCAGTATTGACCCATTTCTATCCACCGTTGTATTTCTTAAACAGCATCTTTTTAATTTTTTTCTTTATATATATGTATATAATCTATATGTATAAAAAACTGAAGAAATGTTCTATATATATATACATATATATATAGAATATGCATATGGAGAAAAAAAATTAAAAAGATACTATTGTTTAAATAGGACAGGAAAAAACGAGTTTAAGGAAAAGATTATCTTAATATTTATAAGAGTATTTTTATTTATAAGAGTTTATATAAAATTATTTGAGACTTATTTATAGAAAGCTTAATATATCCTTTTATAGAATTATGTTATACATATCTTTAAGTAAATGATGAGTTTATGATAACTTTTTTCAGCACATGGAACCTTTATTGGAAATCTACGTTTGGAAGCACATAAACCAACTCAGTTACCAATTGACAGTACATTTCACTTTGGGGCATCTACTCGATATTACATAATAAGGGAAAGACCTCAAACTGGTGCCCGACCTATTATCGAAGAATTGGAGAAATTATCCGAAGATATGGACGCTGGTGGTTTGCTGGGATTGCCAGAAACAGAAACAGAATTAGATGTGCGTATCGAATATTTGATATTAAATTATTAAAACATCTAAATTTTCTGCTACATGTGACTCAGCCTATTGTAATTTTCAGAATCTAACAGAATTTAACACAGCTCATAATCGACGGATCTCTATGCTTGGCATAACGGATGACGAAATGCATAAACCAACGCGCAAACGAAAGAAAAAAGGAATCACTTTCAATGACGACGAAGAAGTAATCAATCCGGAAGACATTGATCCATCAGTCGGAAGATTTCGTAATCTTGTACAAACGACAGTTGTTCCTAGTAAGGTGCGGCATTTGCATGTTTTTCATGAAGAGAAATAATTGCATGATTACAAAATTGCTTGGCTTAATATTAAATAATTAACTAACTAACTATAACCAGCTCTAACTGTTTAATTTCATATTGAACAATTAAGGAATATGTTTCTTAATTGCAGAGAATGCGTATGGAAGGTGGTCTCATATCCTTGGCGGAAGATCACAACCTTCTGAAGCACATGCAACCTACGTCTACCACTCCGCAACTCTACCACGATTTACCCCCCGAGCAGTTTACGCCTTCCTCGATGTCTTCGATCAATCCATTTTCTACGGCTCTTACATCGCGGCTTGGCATCGCGCTACCTAACCCGGCACCCGAGGTGGAGATGACGCCGAATCAGATACAGACGGAAGTGCCGCATGTGCAAGAGCACATGTCAGGTACGACGGAGCCACGAGTAATGGAACCGAAGAAGAAGAAGTATGCCAAAGAGGCATGGCCTGGGAAAAAACCGATACCAACGCTGCTTGTATAATAGGACGAATTATTCATATGTATAATATACATAACATGTACATTATAATATAGTCTTAGTTCATATATAAATAATATAGTTTTATTATTTTCCGATAGAGCTGTACCTTCATCCAAGGATTGTTCATACACTATATACAATTTTTACACTACATACGATTTTTCGTCAGCTCTGTTATGTGTTATTATATCACATACAACCAGGGAATGAAAATAACTTGTTACTTGTAATGAAGTTACAATTACAAGTTACTTTTTTAGTGGTAACTGTGTTCCCCTTTTTTTTCTTTGATAACTGTAACGGTAACGAAATTATATTTTTTTGATAACGGTAACGAATTTTACAGTTACTTTTATCGTTACTTTGCACACGATTGGACACGGTACGATTGGACATAAGTCACTCATAGCATTTGAGACTAGGAAGCCCCTAGGCTCATCCGCTGTGATTGGTGATCATCGATTCTAAAAAAAGTAACGGAAAAGTAACGAAAAGTTACATTTTCAAGTAACGGTAACTGTAATGAGTTACTTAAAAAATCGGTAACAGTAACTTGTTATTTTTTTCTACTCGGTAACGAGTAATTGTAACTTGTTACTTTTAAAAAGTAACTTTCCATTCCCTGATATAAATTATATTAAATTAATTTTAATTATCATTGAATCATATAGAATTATGAAATTTTGGCTGATTATCATGGTTTAATGTAAATGTTAATAGAATTCTCTAAAGAAATTTTCAGTCACTTGAAGAATGCGAATGAAATATTGTAATCTACTAACGCAACAAATGCATTCAGTAGTTAACAATGATATTCAATCAAAGCATCCTAAAGTTATGCAATTTTAAAGGAATTTAATGAATAATGACATTGGATACACTTTATGTCATGTTATATGTATATATATATATATATATGTATATGTAATTCAGGGACTTTGACCGAAATTATATTATGGATACATTATAGATACATTAAAATTTCGGTTACGATTATGGTCCGAGGCTACCCGACTTTCAATTTCGGTGTCGGTTTCAATTTTTTTAGTGATAACGGTGACCGTTATAGGTATATAATTACCAAAAACCGAAAAGGACCGAAATCCAAACGAACCCGGTAACCATTACGGTAAAAGAACTGGAACCAAAAGTTGGATTTAGCCTCGGACCATTATCGAATTTTTTCGGTCCGAGTCCCTGATATGTATATATATATATATATATAAAATGTGTGCGTGTGCGTGTGCGTGCGTGCGTGTACGTGTGTAAGGTTTGTCTCCATGCTATATTTCTAGCGAATTCGATTGGACGCACTCATTGTGCAGATTGAAGTTGTTATATAAATTAACGCAAAGATGTGTGTAATATAGATAAAGAAATCAGTAATATCTTCAACACACTTTGTTATGTTGTTAAATAAAATATATATTTTATAATTCGAATATTTGCATTTCATTTTTACCCTCAGATTAAATCAGTATACAATATCTTTAATGTGCACTAATGTGTACGTCTAACCGAATCTGCTATTGATTTATTTTCTCTGCGATAATAAAAATATCAATAGAAATAAAATTATTTATGTTTATCTTATTGAAGTTTTTGGTGACTCAGGCTGGATTGTTCCACCTTTCGGTAAACTTCAGCTCACTGTCTTACTAGTTACTCTTTTATATTCTTATTCTTTTACTCTTTTGTTTATCCAGTAGGTTAATTACCACATAGTTTATCCGAAGATGAAACAACCGGCCCTAAGAATATGAAGTTACATATAGTTTTAATATCGTGATTTTTAATATTAATATAATAACAACATTGCTATATTTGTTACATAATATGTATTGTATTTTTTTTTAAATACAATATCTCGGCATAATTTCTTTTATGTACAATTACTATTGCTCCAAGTGCAATGAATACGATGTAAATATATATGTGAAGGAAATTTTATTAAAATACTTTTATAAATGTTAATATAAAAAAAGAAGTTAATAAAAAAACAAATATTGTATATATTACATAAGTATGTATTATTTTGAGTCAATAAATTTTTTAATGTAAAGAATTATTTTCGTTTGTCTCTAGATATATTTTTTTTTCCCCGAAGTAATATCAATTAAGTGTTTCGGAATTTCCTCCCAGCAGACCGAAGAAATTAAAGAGATGCATGAGTTATCGAATTCGATGCATCGCATTCATTACCTGGGATTATCTATATGTGAAGATTTTCTCCTATCTGTATAAAAAAAGATGTATATATATTATTCGTTTCTAGATATTAAATGAAATATTAATTGTGAAGTAGATGCAACACTCGTATATTTTTATACTTGCTCTACAAGGAACTTTTACAAAAAATGATCTTCTATAAAATATTATAACAATTATATTAGAATATAAACATAAAATATGTTTTTACACAAAATTTAACGTAAGCACTGTGACATTTCTCTTATAATTTCCGTATTGTCGTCGGGTAGCGAAAAAGAGAATATACCGGCCAACTTCAAAAGTTTCTTAAAAAATGCATTAATATTCCAGCGGTGTATCCGGTGTAGACGGCGATTCGAGGGCGACTTCTTCGTAATCTCTCTCAAGTGCCGCGAGGTCCTCGCGCGCTTCCGCGAATTCAAGTTCCTCCATACCTTCTCCTACATACCAGTGAATAAATGCCCGCTTGTTGTACATTAGATCGAATTTTCGATTAAGTTTAGCCCACGCTTCTTCTATAGCCGTCGTGTTAGATAGCATAGAGACAGCTCGTTGAACCTGCAAATTATTCATTTGATGTAGATATTAATATCTAACAATAAGTATAATATAATATAAATATAATATTAAAAAAATGTAATATAAGTATAATATTACGTAAGAAATTAATAATTGTAATATAAACGACGTTTATGATAAATGTAATATATATGTATAATATGATTACATTACGTAATATTAGCGTTACATAATAAATTGCTAATTATTATATACACAATTATTATGTTAAAAGATTGTAGAAATTCTACACTGTTAAAAATTTCCTGAAATTTAATATACTTTTAAATTACACAATTTGAACTTAATTTCATTATTTACATTACATTTCATTAAAAATTACATTAAATTTCATGTATTTATAACTGAAAAGTATATTTGTGTACAGGTACATGAAATTTAATATACACATTCATTACATTTAAGTAATAAACTACTGTAACTTAATTTTCAGTTAAATTATTCATCACTTTTAATTTCATTCATAACCACAAGCTTCATTTACATGTAAAGGAAGCTCGTTACATTTCTAACAGTGTATATTAAGTAATAAATTAATAATTATTACAATTATTATATGTAAGAAATTGTAAATTAAAATTCCAATTATATATAATTTGAATTTAAATCAAGCAATAATATCTAATTTAAAATCAATCTTTTACAATATAATAATTTTCGTTAGATTTCAAGATATTTATGATTTTATATGTAATTAAAATATAAATATTATAATACTTATATTTTAATGTATATTTGATATATACGTGTAATCTTGATTTTCATTCAAATACATATATTTTCCATATTATGTTATAAAGACATAAAATTATTCAAGAGAATTCTATAGAATTCTATTCTGAATTTCAGTATTAATTTATAGATTGTCTAAAAGATGTTTAAATTTAAAATTTGTTATTTTGATAAAAAAAAAATTAAAATAAGACTTCGAAGAGAAAATTTATCGACAATACCTTCGCAAGATCACCGCCTGGCACGGCGGTGGGCGGTTGATAATTGATTCCAACTTTGAAACCTGTGGGACACC